GGTTTAAACCCACCACTCTTGGTGCATGTGGCTGGCGCCGTAACCACTGTGCCATGGGCGCTGTGCCAGAACATTTATAACTCTGACTTACACTGTACAAAGCAATTCGTGTAACCAAAACATTTGTACCCCTATAATTTTTCTGAAATAAAAAGCACACATACAAGTCCACTATTCACTTAGTTATTAATAAGTCAACTTTGTATCACCCTTTATTTCTATACTAATAAGATGACTTTTTTATCACTATCCTTCATCTATATTTATCTATGAAGCCCACTAAGTCCACTAAGACTATGATAATAACAGAGGTCCTCAAGATACCTTGAATATATCGGAAATCTTAGAGGGCAGCTAGTTTAGTTAGCTGAGGAAATAGGACAAAGTCATTGTTAAAAACTCAAGTTGGATTTAAGCAGAGATGAGTACACATTCTTATTTCATGTTCACTAGCTGAACAAGAAATCTGAGCCTGATTTCCTCACTCGTAAAATAGGAGTTTTAACGGCACTTACCTCATGAGGTTGTTATGAAGATTGAATGAGAAAATTATGGAATAGATGTAGCTGTATTCAGTGAATGATGAGAAAGATGATAATGATGATGATTAGCACTCTGCAATGGGTTTAATATTACTCATATGTTAATATATGTTAAAAATGATCATTTGTTATTTTTAGCATATTGTCTACTCATTATATATGTTTTTGATTAATGGTGAAATGCCTGGAATCATTTACCCACAGGGTTATTTATTCACTGACAGTATTTTTTTTTTTTTGAGACAGATCCTCAAGCTGTCACCCTAGGTAGAGTGCCATGCATCACAGCTGACAGCAACCTCCAACTCCTAGGCTTAAGCGATTCTCTTGCCTCAGCCTCCCAAGTAGCTGGGACTACAAGCCACAATGCCCGGCTATTTTTTGGTTGTAGTTGTCATTGTTGTTTGGCAGGCATGGGTTGGATTCGAACCCACCAGCTCTGGTGTATGTGGCTGGCGCCTTAGCCTCTTGAGCTACAGGTGCCAAGCCTGTTCACTGTCAGTATTAAAAACAACAATACCTTGTCATCTTTCCAGCTTCCTGTGTAGACAATACCGTTAGGAGTGGTATGAATACCCATTCCGTTTCTCTCATAGATTCCAGAGGATGTTCTTGTACAGTCACCATCTAAGAGAGAAATGCTGAAGATTATAAGTGGGAATTCTGTTTTACTAAGTAAGAGTACAGTATTTATGTCTGGTGATTACGTCCTCTTCACAACCACACCCTGGTCCTCTTTGTTTCCCTAGCACTGAAACCAGTGAGAGCAGAAATGAGATCCACAGACCTAGAACACTTAACTATTCAGACCCAATAGCCAGGAAAGTTGACAGATCCCACAGGTTTCTGAGGTATGCTATCCAGACTTAACGCTGGCATTTTGATTTAAAACATGTTCATCTATTAGGATTTCTGTTATTGTATTTAATGAAGTTAATATCCCAGTAATAGTTCTGCAGTCTCATTTGTTTCATTGTTAAGCTCTTTAACTTTCCATATAGAAAAGGTATTTGAAATGTATGCTTACCATACTTGTCTCCATTTGGAAAGATGAAGTTTATCTTATATACTTCTGAAGCTGTTTTAAAAGATTTAAGAAAAGTCATGTAAGTTTAAATATTTTTATGTCATAAAAATTGACTTATTTTTGTTTTTAGCACAAACAGAGGCCTAATCTATTTTTGTTTGTTTTCTTATGATAACAGCACTATTAATATTTAATTATTAGGACAAAATTTATCCTTTAAAGTATGCAAGTCGGGTGGCGCCTGTGGCTCAGTGAGTAGGGCGCCGGCCCCATATGCCAAGGATGGCGGGTTCAAACCTGGCCCCAGCCAAACAGCAACAGGAAAATAGCCGGGCATTGTGGCCAGCGCCTATAGTCCCAGCAACTCGAGAGGCTGAGGCAAGAGAATCACCTAAGCCCCCAAACTGGAGGTTGCTGTGAGCTGTGACACCACAGCACTCTACCAAGAGTGACAAAGTGAGACACTCTGTCTATTAAAAAAAAAGTATATAAGTCAATGTTTTTTAGAATATTCACAGAATTGTACAAGTGTTACCACAATCTAATTTTGCTATATTTTAATCACCCCCAAAAGAAAGTCTATATATCTATTAGCAGTTACCATTCCCCTCAATCACCCTTCATCCCCCAACTCCAGGCTCCTGGTGGCCACTAATCTACTTTCAGTGTCAATGGATTTGCCTGTGGAAGACATTTCTTACAAATGAAATCATCCAATATGTGGCCCTTTGTGACAGGCTTCGTTCACTTAACGTTTTTCAGGTTCACAATGATGTATCACGTGTCAGTACTTCATTCCTTTTTATAGCCAAATACGTGTATAAGTACATTGTAAAGAAATAGCATATTTCGTTTATTCGTTCATTAGCTGCTGGACATTTGTTTCCAGTTTGAGGCCATTACGAATAATGCTGCTATAAACACTGATGTACAAGTTTTTGTGTAGACATATTTTCATTTCTCTTAGGCAGCCCATACAACCTACGATAGTCCCACAGAGCTAAGGTAGATTGGGTAGATTATCTACTTTCAATTATTTTTAATTTTTCTTTGTGCTTCTTTTTAAACCAAATTTTCAACCTAATACTCCAGCTTACTAACCTATTTCCAAACCAATCAATATCTGATTTGGCAGTAGGAAGAAATGTAAAATAAAGATAGTTAAGTGGGAAGGGCTGGAGGGGCCAAGCAGAATGAGATGGGAATGACTCAGGTAAAAAGAAAGAAAGAAGACCACTAGACAGGAGGGGATCCGTGCCTCAGAGCCCTGGGATAGTTTAGTGGGCTAAAACATTAGGAATTTTTTTTTCTGACACTGAAGAAAACATGCAGAGAAGATAAATGAACCCTAGGACAGAAGATGCTGCTTTAATATTACTCAAAGTGTGACCCATGCATCAGAATCACCTGGGATGCTTCTCAGTTTCTTGGCCCTACTCCATATTTACTAAGTCAGAATCTCTGTGGATGGGGAAAGGGAACTGACCATTCTAATTTAAAAATTAATTCAGGTGCCAGTTGAGAAAGGCGGGAGGCTCATTTCCTCTGAGGAGAACATGCAGTAAATATAACAATAGAATAACACAATAGAAGATTTTTAAAAACTGTTGTATCCTCAGAGAGAAAGATAGGGTACTACATATAATAGCCTTGAAACAGGAACAGACACCTATGAAACGAACCAATTAGCAATCTGGGAAATGTCTAATGTAATTGGTGAAATAAAATTACTTAGAAGGGCTGAATAGCAGAATGGATACAATTGGAAATAGGTTAGTAAGCTGGAGTATTAGGTTGAAAATTTGGCTTAAAAAGAAGCACAAAGAAAAATTTAAAAACAATTGAAAGGGCTCGGCGCCTATAGTTCAACCGGCTAAGGCGCCAGCCATGTACACCTAAGGTGGTGGGTTCAAATCCCCAGCCCGGACCCGCCAAACAACAATGACGGCTGCAACCAAAAAA